TGTAGATACAAAACACTACACCTAACAGAGAAAGAAGAGAAAAAAGCATGCAACTCACAGAATGTCATCCATGTATAATCATAACAATTGATTGCAATTAATTTAGGAGGGTAAGACTTCAGACTTTCACATGAAAGCTCATATGAAGGTGAAACATGTCCGTTTCCTCTCAGGGTTGGCGTGATGTCAGAACTCCTGGAGCGCGAGCAGGAGATGGTTTCTACCACCGTGGCAAAACGACTGGCCAAGCTTGAAGAGCAGGTGTAGTTCTGCCACAAACACTCAGAAATACCCCAGAAACAGTGTTCTACAGTCAGTTTGGTCTGTTCACTTTTTCAGGCAGCATGGCAAAGCAAATGTGAGTGTCAGCTGGTGAATCTCTTGTCTTCCGGCAGGTCTCAGAGTCCACCAAAGCTTTACGATGGATTGTGGACGCGCTGAAATCTCAGGGATGCAAATCCAAAATGCAGCCGCCTCTAATGAGTGAGTGAGCAGAGTGTTTTTAAGTCATCAGTATAACTCATGATCTGTCTTTTTAACATTTCATGGCACATTCACATTCCTTTCTTTTTTAAAGTATTCAAGGCACAAATCCATTTTTTTTGTAATGAGAACTATTAAATACACTACCTTTCAAAAGTTTGGGGTTGTTTTTAGTTTAGTTTTTTCTTCTGCTCACCAAGGCTGCATTTATTTGATCAAAAATGCAGTAAAACTTGTGAAATATTATTACAATTTAAAAATAACTATGTGAATATATAGTAAACTGTAATTTATTCCTGTGATGCAAAGCTGAATTTTCAGCATCATTACTCCAGTCTTCAGTGTCACATGATCTTCAGAAATCATTCTAATATGGTGATTTGCTGCTCAAGAAACATTTCTGATTATTATCAATGTTGAAAACAGTTGTGCTGCCCAATATTTCTGTGAAAACCATAATGCATTTTTATTTTTCAGGATTCTTTGATGAATAGAAAGTTCAAAAGAGCAGCATTTATTTGAAATAGATTTTTTTGTAGCATTATAAATGTCTTTACTGTCACTTTTGATCGATTTTATGTGACCTCAAAACTGTCGAGTATTTTAGATTCCCAATTATTTATCGTCACTTATTGTGGAAAGTGCTTCTGTTTGCTGCTGTTGTAAATGAGGTCCTCTGTCCATCCAGCAGGTAAAAGCTCTGACAGGGACGACGGTGAATCTAGTGGACAGGAGACAGATGAGGAATCAGCTCCTCACACGTTTGCACGTCAGCTTCAGTATCCCGGCAGTACCGTCAAACGCTTCCCCGTGCCTGAGGAGAAGGTGCCCTGGGAGGTGCCTGATATTAGTAACATAACATATTTTACCAAATTAAGCAACATCACGTTGGATTGTTTTGATCTTATGTGACACATACATGTATTTTGCTTTTTCAGGTAAACTTCACTCCATACCTTCCTCCAGTTTACAATCAACAGGACAGCAGCGAGTGAGTTTTACACTGTGACGGCGCAATTAATCAAAGTGATTAATGATATTGTCTTGTGCAATTATTATGCAATATTAAATATGTAGTCTGCATGCTTCAAAGTAAATGGTGACTCTGTGTTCTAATGTGATCAAGCTCAAGGCAGTATTTTTATTTTTTAGATTAACTTGATGGACTATAATACATAAAACTAAAATAAAAACTATATGGACATATTTAAAAGAATAAATAGTAATAATAAAAATGACAAAACACACAACTATATTAATGAAATCTTAACTAAAATTAAATTGTAAAATATTTTATTTCAACTAGTTGCCAAGGCAACATTTCTATTTTTTTTTTTTATTTAACTTGACAAATTAAAGGGGTCATATGATTTTTTCTTCTGCTCACCAAGGCTGCATTTATTTGATCAAAAATGCAGTAAAACTTGTGAAATATTATTACAATTTAAAAATAACTATGTGAATATATAGTAAACTGTAATTTATTCCTGTGATGCAAAGCTGAATTTTCAGCATCATTACTCCAGTCTTCAGTGTCACATGATCTTCAGAAATCATTCTAATATGGTGATTTGCTGCTCAAGAAACATTTCTGATTATTATCAATGTTGAAAACAGTTGTGCTGCCCAATATTTCTGTGAAAACCATAATGCATTTTTATTTTTCAGGATTCTTTGATGAATAGAAAGTTCAAAAGAGCAGCATTTATTTGAAATAGATTTTTTTGTAGCATTATAAATGTCTTTACTGTCACTTTTGATCGATTTTATGTGACCTCAAAACTGTCGAGTATTTTAGATTCCCAATTATTTATCGTCACTTATTGTGGAAAGTGCTTCTGTTTGCTGCTGTTGTAAATGAGGTCCTCTGTCCATCCAGCAGGTAAAAGCTCTGACAGGGACGACGGTGAATCTAGTGGACAGGAGACAGATGAGGAATCAGCTCCTCACACGTTTGCACGTCAGCTTCAGTATCCCGGCAGTACCGTCAAACGCTTCCCCGTGCCTGAGGAGAAGGTGCCCTGGGAGGTGCCTGATATTAGTAACATAACATATTTTACCAAATTAAGCAACATCACGTTGGATTGTTTTGATCTTATGTGACACATACATGTATTTTGCTTTTTCAGGTAAACTTCACTCCATACCTTCCTCCAGTTTACAATCAACAGGACAGCAGCGAGTGAGTTTTACACTGTGACGGCGCAATTAATCAAAGTGATTAATGATATTGTCTTGTGCAATTATTATGCAATATTAAATATGTAGTCTGCATGCTTCAAAGTAAATGGTGACTCTGTGTTCTAATGTGATCAAGCTCAAGGCAGTATTTTTATTTTTTAGATTAACTTGATGGACTATAATACATAAAACTAAAATAAAAACTATATGGACATATTTAAAAGAATAAATAGTAATAATAAAAATGACAAAACACACAACTATATTAATGAAATCTTAACTAAAATTAAATTGTAAAATATTTTATTTCAACTAGTTGCCAAGGCAACATTTCTATTTTTTTTTTTTATTTAACTTGACAAATTAAAGGGGTCATATGATGTTGCTAAAAATAACATTATTTTGTGTATTTGGTGTAATGAAATGTGTTCATGTGGTTTAAGGTTAAAAAAACACATTATTTTCCACATACTGTACATTATTGTTTCTCCTCTATGCCCCGCCTTTCTGAAACGCGTCGATTTTTACAAAGCTCATCGGTCTGAAAAAGCGAGGTGTGCTGTGATTGGCCAGCTATCCAGTGCGTTGTGATTGGCCGAATACCTCAAGCGTGAGACGGAAATGTTACGCCCCTCACCATACGGTGTTGATGCCGTGTCCGGCCGGAGCGACGAGACCAAAACATTAAAACCCATTACAAACGAGGCATTTGTTGCATCCAGTGGGGACATAATTACTGATTATAATGACTTATACTGTCTTTTTACGCGTTGCACTGCATCGCGCCGCGTAAACATAAAACCATGTCTGCATTTGTGATCGGAGAAATGACAAACAACAAGTGCTACTCTACACTGCTCAAAACTCACGTTTGAATCATCAGTGACAAATGCTTTAAATTCCAAAGAGAAAGGACAAATTGAAATCGCATCGTATGACCCCTTTAAAATAAAAAAAAACTAATAAAATTGGCAAAACAAAATTACTAAAATTTTAACCAAAATTAAAATGAAAAATATTTTATTTCAGCTAGTTGCCAAGGCAACATAATTTTTTTTTTTTATTATTTAGTTTAAACACAAAATTCTGTTATTTAGTTTAAAGACTAAAATTCTTTAAAAACAAAAACTAATAAAAATCAAAAAACACAACAAAATTACTACAATTTTAATCTAAATTAAAATGAAAAATGTTTTATTTCAGCTAGTTGCCAAGGCAACATTTAATTTTTTTTATTATTTAGTTTAAACAAAAAATTATGTTATTTAGTTTAAAGACTAAATTCGTTAAAAAACAAAAACTAATAAAAACAACAAATTACTAAAAATGTTCACTAAAATTTTTATGAAAAATATTTTATTTCAGCTAGTTGCCAAGGCAACATTTCTGTTTTTATTTAGTTTAACTTGACAAACTAAAATAACTAAAACTAAAATAAAAAAAATAAATAAAAAAATACTATATAGACACATAAAAAAATAATTATATTATTTTTCAATTATACTAAATTAACTCAGGTTAAAATTAATGGATTATTTTTTTTTCATTTACAGTAAAACTATGTTGCATGTACAAAATATTATACAATAACAGTATAATATATAACAATTCAGTTCTTCATAAATTGAATAAAAACGTAAAGCATCTTTATTCATTTTGTACAGGAGATATAAAGTTAAAAAATCTTGTTTTATACATTTTATGTAGTAAAGCTACATTGTCATCTTGCTCCAACCCAAGTGATCTGAACACACTTGACGTCATAATTATCACTTCCACACTCGTAAAAATGAACTTCCCAAGAGGACTTAAACACAATAAGAGTTTGCCTTAAAGAATTGTCTCTGGCATATACAACCAGGAAGTTGAATAGAAATGACAGGAAGATGCATTCACTGAATTTTGTTGGTGCTGAAAACATATTATAATTCTTGAAATGCTTGTTTTAGTATTCCTGACAGTACTTCTCATCTTGCTGTTTTTGTCAATAAAAACACTATTTTCTTGCACAGCTCTGACACTTCAGTCTTGGACAAGTACAGGTATGCAAAACGTAATGTGTGACCCTGGAGCACAAAAGCAGTTTTAAGTCGCTGGGGTATATTTGTAGCAATAGCCAAAAATACATTGTATGGGTCAAAATGATAGATTTTTCTTTTATGCCAAAAATCATTAGGATATTAAGTAAAGATCATGTTCCATGAAGATATTTTGTAAACTTCCTACCGTAAATATATCAAAACTTCATTTTTGATTAGTAATATGCATTGCTAAGAACTTCATTTGGACAACTTTAAAGATGATTTTCTCAATATTTTGATTTTTTTGCACCCTCAGATTCCAGATTTTCAAATAGTTGTATCTCGGCCAAATATTGTCCTATCCTAACAAACCATACATCAATGGAAAGCTTATTTATTCAGCTTTCAGATTATGTATAAATCTCAATTTCGAAAAATGTACCCTTATGACTGGTTTTGTGGTCCAGGGTCACATATATATTCATCTGTGTCTTTATTATCCTACTTGAATTTGCATTTAATTCGTTTGCGTGTTAAGTTTTATTCTCATTAATGGATTTGACAGGAATCCAGGAGGAAGGACTGGGATTCGGGGAAAAGGGTCTCTGAAATCCCTTGGTCCGAATCACATTCTCCACCCAATCCTCACCAGGTGAATTAAAATCCCCTTCATGTCCTGATCTTGACTGGAATTAAACTCTAATCTCATATCGGATTGAAGTTTACAACCGAACGCACAAAAAACAACACAGTCCCACATCGTTTGTGGGATTATAGCAGATTAGCGATTCATCCCATGTCCTTAGTTCATCCCGCTGTTCGTGAGAGGAATGATAGAGGAGCTTTCTGTCTGTTTTTGAAGGTGGCGTGATGCTGAACACAAGGTGCTGGAGTTTCTCGCCGTTTGGGAGGAAGCGGAGAAACACTGGGCTCTTCCTGGGGTGAGAATGCAGAAAATCTGAGATAAATACACTACAGGACAGAAATATGGAATAATTAAGATTTTATTTTACGGTTTTGAAGTCTCTTCTGCTCACCAAAGCTGCATTTATTTGATCAAAAATGCTATAAAAATAGTGAAATATTATTACAATTTAAAATAGCTGTTTTCTATGTGAATATCTGTTTAAATGTAATTTATTTCTGTGATGCGCAGCTGTATTTTCAGCATCATTACTCCAGTCTTCAGTGTCACATGATCTTCAGAAATCATTCTAATTTGCTGATCGAGAAACATTTATGATGTCGTGCTGCACAATATTTTTGTGGAAACTGTGATACATTTTATTTTTCAGAATTCTTTGATGAATAGGACGTTCAAAAGAACAGCATTTATTTTAAATAGAATCTTTTATAACATAAATGTCTTTACTGTCACTTTTGATCAATTTAATGCATCCTTGCTGAATAAAAGTATTAATTTCTTTGTTTTTTAAAAATCTTACTTACCCCAGTCTTTTGAATGGTAGTGTATCAGTGTTTCCATAAAAATATGAAGCAGCACAGCTGTTTTCAACATTGATAATAATCAGAAATGTTTCTTGAGCAACAGAATATTAGAATGATTTCTAAAGGATCATGTGACACTGAAGACTGGAGTAATGATGCTGAACATTCATTAATAAATTACATTTTAAAATATATTAACATATAAAACATCTATTTTAAATTATAATAACATTTAAAACATTTTACTGTATTTTTGATCAAATGAATGCATCCTTGGTGAGCAGAAGAGACTTTAAACATTTGCTTTTTAAACAGTCATAAAAAGCATCATATTTGCTTTACTGTTATTTTGGAACCAAGATGAGCTAGTTATCCTCAAACACAACACAAACTGGCTTTATAGATATGCTAAGCATATATTGAGTCAATCATAAACATTTTTCTTGTAGGGCCCAGTCAAAGCTAATGAGCCTCTAGCACAGACACTGGAGAGGATTCTGGGAAAAAAGTTACATGACAAGACCAAGTCTCAAATAGAGGCTGGAGAACAGGTGAGCATCACTGATTAAAAGACATTGTTACAGACATTAAGATCATAGATCTAAACTGCACCAGGTTTCCTATATTAACTATGGGTCAGTTAACTTTCATTTAGCAGACATTTCCTGTTGCATGGAAAAAATACAGCATGCAATGAGTAAATAATTAGATCATTTTGATTTTTTGAATGAATTATTCCGTGCATGCAATCTATGATTACATTTTATTGTATTTATTTTTCTGTATTATTAGTTCAAACATAATCACCTGGTGCAACTGCTGTATCAGAAATGACAAAAATCCAAATAGTAATGCATGCAGTTACTCAGGATGTGTGTGTTTCCTCTCTGATGCAGGTGTGTAAGGGTTATGTAGATGACAGCAGGAACACCGATAATGCCTGGATAGAGACCACCATCATCACACTTCACTGTGACAAACACACCACGCTCACAGCAGATCTGAACCGCATTGTGAGTATAAAATATTACTTCCTTTCATATCGCAGTGATATCTGCACAAATTAAATATGGGGTTATTGGCCAAAATGAATACAAAGTGTCTCTTTGGTTTACAAATAAACTAAAAATGCTGCTAAAGTGCCAAATGCAAGTAGAAACTATCAATGGCAAGTAAAATCTCCAGGTGAGTGGCAAACCATGATGTGGTTTAAATCCGACCCTGATCTAAGCCAAACACATACAAACCGTCTGCTATTCTGACTCATGCATCTGATCACAACATGCATTTTCTTCTCGACGGAGACTGACTCATCTCGCTTTTGATGTTGTGAGTGACACCTGTGTTGATTGCAACAAATATGCAAGGAAAAATATCCCAAGCATCTGTTTATGTGTAATATTTTTTTATTTATAATTTGATTAAAAATGTCCTGTGAGAGATATCTGTCCATTAGCTGGTGTGATGAAAAGTTTATATATCTATATACATGTATAAAATAGGGTTATGGTAAGAGACGCTTCATATAATTTGTGAGATTTCCCAATGTAAAAGTTACAGTGTGCCACTTACAGTATCATTTTTAATTGTATAAAATATATTAAAAATTATATATATATATATATATGTATATGTATATTTATATTTATATAATTTTATAAAAATGATGCAAAATGCAATTGCATGGCTGCTAAGAAATATTTGTGCCCATTAGTTGGTGTGATAGTCTATTTTGCACACTGTATGTGATATATATATATATATATATATATATATACAGTATATATATATATATATATTTGTGTGT